CGGGCCCCGCGGCCCGCGACTCGATGGAAGGAGTTCTTGGGGTGCGGCCCCACATCCCGCGCTCGGAGGCCCTCCAAAACTTCCGAGAGAGGTGGAGACGACGGGACGTGATTGTGGGCCCCACCGCGGAGGAATTCAACGTGTACGGTCTTTGGGCATACGATGCCGTGACTGCGCTCGCTATGGCGGCCGAGAGGGCCGTTTTGGTAAATTCTTCGTTCTCGAATTCCGGTTTTGGCTCGCGAATTCTTGACCAGCTGGCAAGCGTAGAATTCCAAGGGTTGAGCGGAGAGTTTAGATTAGTAGACGGGAAGCTGAGGCCTTCGCCGGTGGAGATATTTAACGTGATCGGGACCGGGGAGAAAACAGTCGGGTATTGGACGCAAAACGGAGGATTAGTACGGGAGTTGATGAGCCCGTTGCGCGAGAAAACTAATGCTTACTCGACATCAGCAAAGGAACTAAAAAGCATCATGTGGCCTGGAGATTCGGTCACGCGTCCCAAGGGTTGGGCTATCCCGAAGCTCAGGGTTGGAGTTCCTTGCAAGCTTGGATTCACGGAATTCGTCAATGTGGCCGTTGACCGGAAAATGAATCGTACGAATGCGACTGGATTTTCGGTCGACATTTTCCTGGCCACGCTGGATCTGCTCCCGTTTCGGGTCGATTATGAGTTTTCTTACTATAACGACACGGAGCACGTCAATTGGAGTTATGACGACATGCTGCACAAGATACCTCAGGTGAATCAATCTTTAGGAAAAAAAAAAGTTATAAAATGATACTTCAATAGTTAGCTCTCTTTTTATTCAGATTGCATTTTTTTTTTCCTTTTTTCTCTTTGTTGAAATAGGAATTTGATATGGTAGTTGGGGATACAACGATTTGGGCTCCGAGAGCGATAAATGTTGATTTTTCGCTCCCGTATTCTGAATCAGGAGTCACCCTAGTCGTTAAAAATCGAAAGCCGTTTGACATGTGGATCTTCGTAAGGCCCCTGAGGTGGGACCTTTGGCTAGCAATCATTTCAGCTTGTATTTTAATGGGAATTGTACTCCGCATATTGGAACACCGTGTGGCTAGGGACAACTCGGATTCATTAAGAACACACAAGAATCGACTCGGGATGATCCATTTGTCTCCGGTGGCAGTTCTTGCTTTTCCTGAAAGTAAATACTCGAAACAAGTACCTTGTCCTATTTTTTTTTAATGAATTAACATGTTTTGTTCATTTTTTTTTCCTTTCTTGTTTTTTCGGACAGGGAATATGGTTTCGAATAACTGGTCCTTTCTCGTGTTGGTATTCTGGCTTTTCACGGCGTTCATATTGATGCAGAGCTACACTGCCAACTTGTCTGCTATTTTAACAGTCGACCAATTGAAGTTTGCATTTTCGGACAATTATTACGTTGGTTATCAGGAAGGTTCTTTCATGAAGCGATTTTTGACTCAGCAACTGCATATTAGCGAGTCGAGGCTCAGGAGTTACGGGTCGGCCGAGGAATACCATAAAGCTATGTCCTTGGGAAGCAAAAAGGGGGGCATAGATGCCGTATTTGACGAGATTCCCTACATGAAGATTTTGATCAACAAATACGATTCTCTGTACAAGATGGTCGGGCCAACCTACGTAACCGGTGGATTCGGCTTTGTAAGTTTGTAATAACCGTGAATCAAGTTAATGTGTAAGATAACATGATATTCTCATGCAAGCTATATATAATATAATGTGCTATTAACTTATTATCTCTCAGGCCTTTCCTCTGGGCTCTCCTTTAGCAGCACATTTTTCGAAAGCAATCCTCGATGTCACTCAAGGGCCCAACATGACTGCCATTGAACAGAAAAATTTCGGGCCCGGTTACTCTTCACAGGATCCGCTTTCATCGACTATCTCACAAGAAACGTCCAGCCTGTCACTCTATGATTTTGCGGGACTCTTCATAATCGTGGGATCCGTAACTCTACTTGCTCTGTTTTGCTCCGAGACAGCAATAGGAAGGAAATTGACGCGACAAACAGAGCGTTTTATCCACCGCTGCTTCTTCTTCAAGGCTCCGAGAGTTAACTCGATGGAGGATTCGAGTGTAGATGGGAATTCAGCACATGGTGTTGTTGATGGCAGTGAACGAGCTCCGGATAATGTTGATACACCATTTTACGAGGAAGGCTTAGATACACGTGTTAGTGAGGAGATTCAAGAAACTGGGTCGACTGGCGAAACTCTTGAAGCTCGGGATTTAGTGACAAGAGTCGAGAGTAATGGGGAGAGGACAATGTAAGAAATTGATCTTTGGACAGAAGTGTGGTTCACAACACAAGATTCAGTTCTTACAAGTTCTTTTACAGTTTACTTTGGATTTAGTTGTTCATTCCTGTTGAATACATTCAACCAGGACAAAGCTGTAGCAGCAGTTGCACAGAAATCTTTCCTGTGAAAAGAAAAGGACAGAGGCCTGATTTATTCCAAGTTGTCCAAGATAATGTACAAAGAAGAATATGTTTATGTTACAAACTAAACATTGCTTAAACAATGATAATAAATTGATAAAAGCATAATAATCTTGTTTAAAAGTTCAAATTTTTTATAAAAGTTATGTTGTATTTTTATCAAATAAACTATAATAAATTATAGCCATTTAATTTATCATGTGGGGTTGAGAATATTTTATACTTGACAATGAAATTTAAAAAAGCACAACAAGAAAAAATCAATCATGTTCCACATATATGTACTAAGAACTTAATAGAATTCCCTGAAGCCATCTGCACTGTTTCCAGTCAAACATAATAAGCTAGATAAAACTTGTGGCCTACATAAAATGTTCATTGGCACATAAATTCATCTGCTTACAAAGAAAATTTCCCTATAGAATGTTCATTGACACAGAAATGTTCATTGACCAAAAGTCAGCATATTACATCGATTTCTATGTCGTTCTCTCCGCATTACTCTCGACTCCGATTACCGAATCCCGAGCTTCAGAAGTCGAATCCCGAGATTCACTAGTCAACTCAATTTCTTGAACTTCCTCGCCAGCATGTGTATCTAAGCCTTCGTCATAAGAAGGTGAGGCAATTCCATGAACCGAATTCACTTCTACACTAGAATCCTCCATCGAATCAACTCTTGGGGCCTTGAAAAAGAAGCAGCGGTGGATAAAACGTTCGGTTTGACACGTCAGCTTTCGCCCCATTGCTGTCTCGGAACAGAACAAAGCAAATATATTCACGGTCCCAATGATTATGAAGAGTCCCGCGAAATCGTAGAAGCACAGGCTCGATGTCCCTTGTGAGATCGTGGAGGAAAGCGGATCTTGCGAAGAGTATCCGGGCCCGAAGTTTTTTTTAACAATTGCTGTCATGTTAGAGCCCTGAGTTACATCCAAGATTGCCTTAGAAAAATGCGCGGTTAAGGGCGAGCCTCGACGGAATGCCTGAAATAAATCGATAAAAGGCTGATTTTATGGTAATTAGTCATGTGTTGATAAACTGAGGATATTGTGAAAACTTACGAAGCCGAATCCACCGGTAACGTAAGTTGGCCCAACCATCTTGTACTGAGAATCGTATTTGTTGATCAAAATCTTCAAGTAAGGAATCTCGTCAAATACGGCATCTATGCCCTCGTTTTTGCTTCCCAAGGACATAGCTTTATGGTATCCCTCGACCGAACTGTAACTCTTGAGCCTCGACTCACTAATATGCAGCTGATTAATCAGGAAATGCTTCATGAAAGAGCCTTCCTGATAACCCACGTAATAATTATCCGAGAATGCAAACTTCAATTGGTCGACCGTCAAAATGGCAGACAAGTTGGCCGTGTAGCTCTGCATTAGTATGAACGCCATGAACAGCCAAAACACCAGCACGATAAAGGACCAACTATTCGAAACCATATTCCCTGTCCAATGAAAAAACAAAAAAAAAAAA